AATAGTGGTTGGCCTCGCGCGCTTGATAACGCGGATAAGCGCTGTCAGACAAAGTGCGCACTCCTCCGCAGTCCGTCTGCTCACCACTAATATTGCAGCCAATTGATACACTCGCGTTGAATCCGAAAAACCACAAGTAACCACAGGATATCCCAGATCACTTAACTTGAATGTAGCATCAGCGTGAAACATTGTAAAACGTTTGGGAGAAGCGTATTACAGGCAAGCATCAATCAACGCTGCACTTGTTACACCAATCACGAAGGAGTCCTCGTCAGCCCCTTTGTCGACGATTCTCATCTTCACGAGGTCCGAATATGAAGGCTCGGTTACAATCTCCAGTTGGATTGAACATGTGTTGTTGAGCAAGCTTTTTCTTACCACCTTAATGCAGTTCTTGGTTCCTTGTAGACGACGCAAGTGCTTGGCGCAGTCTGATACTTCGTTTTGCGTTGGGTAGCCACGCGTAGGAGCGACAACGTCTGAGCTACGTCGCATATTACTCAAAAATGAGCTGGGGGAACTCCACAATAATCCTGTTGTAAAATGATTTTTTTCATTTCGTCAGTGATGACGGTTTTGTGAGATCCACGACAATCCACTTCATCAGGCCATTCAAGATCCATCCGATTGTAGAAAACTCGAAACCGACTTGATACTTCACAGCCCCGCACTTTCCACGAAACTTGCACGTACCATATAATTTACAAGTCACACTAGTGCAGCGCAATCGTCGCTCCCCCATTTCATGAACCTCACCATCAGAAACTCGGCATCTACACGTCGGAATTGTATGAGCTACCCGCGCACAACAGAACTCCAGGTCTTGAAACTTGGAGAGTGCACAAGATGAAGGCAATGTACACACAACTCCCAGCTGTAGATAACTCGAGGCATACTGCTAGTTCAATTGTCGCACGCTGAAGTGTCACCTGTTCTAGCTTGTCACTGACTGCACGCTGGAGTGTCACCCGCTCTAGCTGTGTCGCTGGGTCTCGTCAGTCAGTACCCCTTCTTGAGATCACTGGCTTCTTCCGTACGCTGCCCAAATGAATGAATGGGCTATGTGGGCTCTTCCGAAAATACTCGCAGATTAGAGTCGACCACTCTAATAAGGGCACTCTTCTGTGGAATTCTCTCTCAGATATGTGTTTTTACACTGTTTAACACGATTATCAGCCCGGTTCACTTTTGTGCTGTACAGTTTTCAGGTTTGTTCTGTATCCGGTCTCTGATTTACCTGTTCTGTCTGAAAAGTGTCGAGTTTTCGCCTAATCGTAAAACAAAACCCCTGTTAATAATTAGAAATTCCACCTCAAAAAACTATCAAATGTAAAGACTGCAATAATGAATAACCTGAAGTTTAGGATAGTGGATACGTATTATTTGTGGAAGTAAAATGGCGTCTCTTTGATGCAGTCACTTAGTTGGCACCGCAAGGATGAAGGAAGAGAAGACGCCGTCAGTGGTGGAAGTGCAGCACCAGATCCGCGCTAACGCGTCGCAGCTGCAGGATTACTTTTCGGACTTGTATGCTTGGGAGAAAGCAATCCACAAGGAAGACTCGGCGCGCAAACGGGCGGCGAAAACTGCGAAGAGCCCAACAGCGATCGCTGCTCCACCGCCGCGGACAGCAACAATCATCGGTGTTGACAGTAATGGAGAGAAAGTAAGCACAGCCAACGAGAAGAAACTTGATGCACACACTTACGACAAAGGATACAAACGGTGGGAGAAATTCGACGTGGTACGTCCCCCTTATTATCGTTCAAGTTGCTGTGGTTGGCGTGCTAAACTTTGCTGGTTTCTTGCCTGGTCCGCAGGACGCTGCATTGAAAGAAGCGGACGAAGACGAAGGTAATAAGCGACAGAACAAGCAACAATCGGCGTCAGTTCAGGCTTCAGGTACTGGTCCAAGTCGGGTGACTGCAACGAGCAACATTCCGGCCGCTTCGACCACTACAAAGACTCGGGAGGAGTTGGAGAAAGAAGAAGGCAACGCGCACTACAAGCGTGGTGACTATGTGGCTGCGATAAAGAGCTATACACGCTGTCTGGGCTACAATCCACAGAACGCAGTGGTGCTCTCTAACCGTGCCATGGCGTACTTGAAGAATCGCGAATTTGCCAATGCTGAAGACGACTGCACACTGGCACTAAAGTCTGACCCGGCCCATGTCAAATCGTACTCTCGTCGAGGAACTGCACGCAACGCGTTAGGAAAGCACCGACTAGCTCTGCTTGACTTCCATCGAGCCGCTATGTTGGATCCGAAGAGTCGACAAATCCAGACACAGTTGCAATCTACTCGAAATGTCATTCGAACGGCTATCAAACGCTCTCCAAAGCGAACGGAGTTCTCAATTGAAGTCGTTGGCGAAAGCCCAATGGCCAAGCAGACCCCATCAGAGCACTACGATGCGGAAAACAAGGAAAACGTTGGCTCACAACAACCTAAGACTTCTGATACGAAGAAGATAGCTCCCCCCATGCAGCAAACAGCTTCAATTTTACCGCCTTCTCCTGGAACTTTGTCTGTGGAATCGACGGTCGAAAAGACGAAGAAAACGAGTTCAGCCATTCTACCCAAGCTACCGAAGAAGGCACCTGCTAGTTCGTACGAGTTTGGGCGCGTATGGAAGACTCTTGCGTTGCGTGGAGATACAGAGCAGAAAAGTCAGTTGATTAACTTACGCGCCGAATATCTGCGCATGATCGATCCGCCGAGTCTGCGCACAGTTTTCAAAGCTGGGATGGAATCGGATGTACTGTGTGAAATCTTCCACACTCTCCGGCACGCCATACTGTCCTCATCAGGAGACACACCAGTGCCGAAGGAGGATAGTTCGTTTACACTTGCCTTCGCCAACGAGCTCACGAAGGTACCACGCTTCAACATGACGATCATGCTTCTGTCTGGTAACGAGAAAGAAGATATGGCTTGGGTAATCAAGCGTTTGGGAGAATTATTGAAGGATGACAACGACAACGAAATGCAAGAAGTAGCTAAACTCAACAAAGTGTACGAGCTACTCTGATACCATAGCAAAGCAATGCATCAGTTGATCTAACAAACGCGAGACATTATTTTCATCAATGAAGCGTTCTATCCTCCGCCTTACTTGCTGCAGCTCTTGGTCGCTATTCTGCATGTGGCGGCGTCGACGAGCGACGACTGCTTTAGCTCCTGCTCCGAGATCTTGTAGAACTTCTTGATAAGCTTGATGTCTCCGTCAGTCAGGTGCGTACCGAGCTCTTCGAACGGCACCTGCATGCCTTCCACCAGTGTCTCCACCTCCTTCAGCGTCTCATCGTCCGCATCGACTACGCAGACCACGAGCGATGTAGTGTCGTCATTGACACCGAATCGCTTAAAGGATTCGGATACGTTGCGTGATCCAGACATATTAAAGACCAGTTCGGCGTGTAGACTGCGCGTGGTCAAGCGGCTAGACGCATCGCACAGCAGAGCGCGCGAGGCAGCAGCATGAATCTGGAACGGGCCCGCGATCTGGCAAAAGAATTAACATCGGAACGAGTATTTGTTAGGCATGATACACCCAGTACGAAGTGGAAGCATTGCCAGCAGTACCAGGTGTGCATTGATCAGTGCGACGTCGAATTTCTTATCCAGCAGACCTTGTCGCAGCGCCTGACTGTTCTTCACGTCCGTGTAGTAACCCACGTGGAGCGTTCTGCAACATGGCAGAGTTAGATGGCGTGCGTGAGGAGTTGGCAGGCTTTCAGGTCCTTACCGGTTGCCAAAAAGCGCGTAGGTGTGCTTCTCCAACGTCATTGTGCTCGATTGGCAGTGGGGTGTTTCCAAAACGCGTACCATATTAAATGATACCTTTTCAAATCTGATGTTAGACACTCTATCTCTAAAAACAACACTTTGTGTTTTTAAAAGAACGTTTCTAAATTTAAATTAGAGAGTGGTTGCTGCTCCAGACTGGGATCATAAAAAAAGCCAACGAGCGGTTTTTGGCCAGCAGCACGTAGCTTCCAGCGAGTCTTCGGTGCGTGCTGTGGTATGATTGAGGGGACAAATAAAGAGGCTACCCAGTCCTCCAAACTGCACAACATTGTCAGGATGGAGAAGGGAGCAGCGTTGTTGTATCTGCTAAGTTGGCGCTACGTACAGTAACAACACTTATTAGGTATTTAATAAGGACCTCAAAACCCTTATTAAGGACTCCCAGTCTGGAGCAATAACACGTGCCCTTTTTATTGCCCCCTATTTAAGTGGTCTCATCGCAAAATTAATTGCATTTTACTAATAGTGCCCCCCCCCCCCCCCTTTTTTGGGGGGGGGGGCAGTAAAATAGTCCCTTTCGTGAAGTGGGCCTGTTACATTTTCCAAAAGTACACAAAACAGAACTTTGCTTACTCACATATCTTTGAGGGTTCAAACGACTACATACGCCATTTAGATCAACAAGGCCTAGCAAAGGCGAGCAGCGCTGAAAAATGCCACGGCAAATTGCGAAGCCATTCGTGCTTACGAATCGTAGCCTACGGGGACTCAATTTTTTTCACAAACTCAATTATCACGGTATTGTCGATACCAACTTGCACCGCTTGATTTCGGTGCGCGCGCAAATGGAATCTATGAGCATATCTGGTGTGCACGGATCGAAGTATTACGAGCCCCCACAGCTCGTAAGCCATCCCAGCAAACAGCTCGTAAGCCATCCCAGCAGCGTATGCACTATGCATTCAACTACCAAACAGCTCGCAGTCTGAACTTTCACAAACACTACATGGAAAAAAGGCTCGTGTCACGGCCCCGTCCTAGATGGAGACTTGCACTGGAACTGCGACCAAGCAGAAAAAAAATGTCGATGATTGTTACGAGAGTGACGTGGCAAATTCGTCTTGTTTCCGTGAACAACAGAGATGTCCCGCCGGTAGCCGCCGTGGCCTGATTAGCAAAGTGGTCCACCTTGGTCAACAAATGAGACGCTCTCAGTTGTGGCCGAGCATTGCGTCATCCTGCAAGCTGTCGCATCCAAAAGGCAGCTTCAAAATACGATTATGGGCCCTAGCGTTTGATTGGCTAAAACACATATCGACCAATGAGAGTAGAGTAGCAATTTCAACAGGGTCTCTGACACAGTTTGCTTGGATCGTGCGGTCCAACAACAGGACCTGTGTCATTTCCGGATTCTCTCCGCGGGGCTCAAGCGATCCTCTTTCACTTCTTTAATCTGTCACTGTAGCCATGGCTGACCACGTGGACAAGAAGCCGCGCATTGGCGAGGAGCTGTGCATCAACACGATCCGCATGCTGTCGGCTGATCAGCCGAGCGCCGGCAAGTCGGGCCACCCGGGTGCCCCCATGGGCTGCGCTCCCATGGCTCACGTGCTCTTCGGTAAGACGATGAAGTTCAACCCGAAGAACCCCAAGTGGAGCAACCGCGACCGCTTCGTGCTGTCGAACGGCCACGCCTGTGCGCTACAGTACAGTATGCTGCACCTGACGGGCTACGACCTGCCCATCGAGGAGCTCAAGAAGTTCCGCCAGTTCGGCTCCAAGGCCCCCGGCCACCCGGAGAACTTCTGCACGCCCGGTGTCGAGGTGTCGACGGGCCCGCTTGGCCAGGGTATTTCCAACGCCGTGGGTCTGGCCATCGCCGAGAAGCACCTGGCCGCCGAGTTCAACAAGGACGGCCTTGACATCGTCGACCACTACACGTACGTCATCTGCGGTGACGGCTGCCTGCAGGAGGGCGTTTCCTCGGAGGCCTCGTCGCTGGCCGGCCACTTGGGCCTGGGCAAGCTCATTGTGCTGTACGACGACAACAAGATCACCATCGACGGCCACACCAATCTCTCGTTCACCGAGGACGTGCAGAAGCGCTACGAGGCCTACGGCTGGCACGTGCAGGTCGTTGAGGACGGCAACTACGATCACGCCGCTATCCTCAAGGCCGTCGAGACGGCCAAGACTGTGACCGACAAGCCGTCGCTCATCAAGATCCGCACCATCATCGGCCTTGGCTCCAAGATCGAGAACACCCACTCGGTGCACGGTGCCCCTTTGAAGCCCGATGACCTGGCGGCCACTAAGGAGAAGTACGGCCTCAAGGGCTCGGAGACCTTCTTCGTCCCTGAACAGGTCAAGAAGTACTACGACAAGACTGCGTCGGGCGCGGAGCACGAGAAGAAGTGGAACGAGCTTTTCGCCAAGTACACTGAGAAGCACCCCAAGGAGGCTGCTGAGTTCACGCGCCGTATGGAAGGCAGGCTGCCGGCCGACTGGAAGAAGAACATGCCCAAGTACACGGCCGCGGACCCTAGCAAGGCTACTCGCCAGCACTCAGAAATCGCGCTGAACGCTGTGGCCACGGCTCTGCCCGAGATCGTGGGCGGATCGGCTGACTTGACCCCGTCCAACCTGACGCATCTGTCCATGTCGGGCGACTTCCAGAAGGACACTCCTATTGGCCGCTACATCCGCTTCGGTGTGCGTGAACACGGTATGGCCGCGATCTCGAACGGTCTGTTCGCCCACGGCGGTGTGCGTCCGTTCTGCGCTACCTTCTACAACTTCATCGGCTACGCTATGGGCGCCGTGCGTGTGAGCGCTCTGTCGCGCTTCGGTGTGATCTACGTGGCCACCCACGACTCGATCTTCCTGGGTGAGGACGGCCCGACCCACCAGCCCATTGAGATGAACGCGGCCCTGCGCGCCATGCCCAACATGTACGTGTACCGTCCGGCCGACGGCAACGAGACCGTGGGCGCCTACATCGCTGCTGTGGAGAACCAGCACAAGACGTCGGTGCTCGCTCTGACTCGTCAGGGCCTGCCGAACCTGGCCAACTCGACGGCCGAGGCTGTGGCCAAGGGTGCCTACATCATCGCCAACGTGGCCAATGGAGCCGAGGTGGAGTCGCTGGAGGGCGAGCCCAACCTGGTTCTGGTTGCCTCTGGCTCGGAGGTGTCGCTTGCAATCGACGCTGCTAAGCTACTGACCAGCTACAAGGTGCGCGTCGTGTCTGTGCCGTGCCGCGACCTGTTCGACGAGCAGTCGGTTGAGTACAAGAAGGAGATTATTGGAGAGGGCATCCCGACCATGAGCGTGGAGGCCGCCGCCACCTTCGGCTGGTCCACGTACTCGCACTCGCAGTTCGGTCTGGACCGCTTCGGTGCTTCGGCCACGATCGCGCAGCTGAAGGAGCAATTTGGCTTCAACCCCAACACGGTCGCTGACGAGGCCCGCAAGCTGGTCAAGTACTACGATGGCCGCTCGGCCCCGAGCCTCTTCGACCGCCCTGCCCCGCGTGTGCTTAAGGCTGCGGACCACTAGGCAAACTTCTAGCTTGTTGCTGACTCCGGTCGACGCAGTATAAAATGAAGCGGACGAATCTATTGAACCACTTCAACGTATGGCTCGTCTCACTGAATTTATCGAATCATGTATCTTCATGTTTCCTTGTTTGCTATTCGTCAAAATTACTGATCTCATTTCACCCTATCATAAGCGTGGAATCTTTCGGTTAGTAATTCAAATTTGAACTTCGACGGCAAGTTGCCAAGAACCTCTGCATGGCCGTCTTCCTGCGCTCCCAGTGACGAACGCCGCGGTTTATACCCACATCTGACAACGAGTATGGATCCATCGATTTCACCAGCATCTTCAGACAGCAGTTCTTCGTCTCCTTCTTCCACTAGAGGCCACAAGGTCCGTCCCAAGTCGACCAATAATCTTAAAAGAACGTCTGCCCGCAGAGAACTTAAACGCTCCATCGAGAAGAAGTTTCGACTGCGTTACACCTCACTACAACAAGCCTATGAGCAGCGACTAGAAGTACTGGCCGTGCGCGTCCAGGAGGTCGTGACTCAGCTGCATGAGGACGCCACTATCCAGTGTCTAAAGGAGAATGCACTAACCCACGAGTATGCGAGCGCTCGGCTAGGCGAAATCGTCCACGAGTGTTTCTACGGGGAGAGAGAACGTTACGTCAAGGCAATGAGCGACCAGATCGCGTGGCAAGCAAGTGATTTACGAGAGATTCAGCAGAAACTACGAGTTGTGCAGAAGAGAGAGCACAACGCACAAAGGCAGTGGAGACTAGCGCAACGAGACATTCAGGCACTACATCACCAATTGGATGTGAGGGTGAAGGAGTTACAGGAGCATAACAAACGGGAAATAGACTTCAGGACGCGGTGTCGAGCTGTGATTGCAGAGCGAGATGCAGCGAGGAAGGAAGTGGACGTGCTGAAGCAGAATGTACAGGCGATCGAGACGTTGGAGCAGGAACATGAAGCACTAAAAGGGAGAATGCAACAAAAAGAGAAAGAGGGACTAGCTGCACGTGGCGAACTGGATCGGAGTATTAAACAGTTGCAAGAGGCGAAGAATGTGAGTTTGGTGGAAATTTCTTGCTACATTAGTAGTACATTGACATTTCTATGTTGTTGTGGTGCAGAAATTGGAGCTGGAAAAGCAGGCGAGTGAACAAGAAGTGACTCATTTAAAGCATTTGCTGTCGATGTCTGAGAGTAAAATGTGCGAGGTAGCACAAGCCTTGCACCAATTGCAGAGCGAGGATTATCCAGCCAAACTGGCACGTATGGAATCGGAACTTGCACATCAACAGCAAATGGCAACTCTTGCTGAAAAAGACCACGAGGATCTGAAGAGAAGATACCAAGAGTTCGGCGAACAGGTGGAGCAGTATATGAATGAGCAGACGCAGGAAAAGGCCGCGATTGCTTTGAAAGGTGAAGAGCAGGTAAAGCAGCTGCAGACTCAACTAGAGATAGTTGGACGACAAGCTCAGGATGCGCTTAAAACCAAGCAGAATGAGGTCACAAGGGTGATGGATCAGCTGAAATTTAGACAAGAAGCGTTGAACAAAGCGGAGAAGAAGCTTGCGTCACTCGAAGAGTCTGCGAAAGCGACGGAAGCTCAACAGGTCGAGACGAACCTGCGACATGAGAAGCAAGTTGGAGGCTTGGAGAAGGAGATCGTTCGGTGGCGACATGCACTGGAAAAGGAGCAGGAGAAGGTGGCCAGTCTTCAGAACGCACTTGCAGAGACTAAAGACAAGTACGAGCGCAAGATCGTGTCCCTTCAAGACGCTATAACTCGGCAAAACCGCCAAGGTGCTCAAGAGAAAGAGCTGGAGGCTCGTACACGCTGGCAAAATGAATTTGTTGCGAAACAAGACGCGCGAATTCAGGAGCTGAAGGAGAAATACGATACTGCGCTGGAGAACCAACAAGCGGAGCTGCTTCAAGCTCGGCAGATGGCACTGGACACGGCGAATGCTGCAGCTGCGAAGTGGGAGAAGGCAAAGCTCGCACAAAAGCAGGAGGAGGATCTTGAAAGACGAAGAAGAGCTGAGGATGCAGTTCGTGAAAAGGATCGTAAGGAAGAGCAGCGAGCGCTCCAAATGGCACAGAAGCGCATGCAGCAAGAGTTTGATGAGCGGGAGAAGCGCCTTATGGAGCGTGAAAGAGCTTTAATGGAGAAAGAGAAACGCGTGGAACGTCAACAAGAAGAGGCCAAGAAGACGGCAAGTTCCTTACCGATAGCCTCTACACCGAGTGTCGTCGTCTTGAATGTGAACTCCACTGATGAAGAGGTTGACGATAATCAGGGCTCAGAGAGTGCACTGGTTAAAGTGGCCTCGAAATCCCGTCGACACAGTGAAAAGTTTGGTCGACAAGAGGTGGAAGGAGGGAATAATATTCCCTTAGCACAGCATACAGCAGAGCTACAAGCGAATGAAGCTCAAGCTGCTTTACGGGCGGAAGAGCGAGTGCAGAAACTCATGCAGGAGTTCCAGGAACGCAAAGAGTCCGAGTTTCGAGCAGCGATGGTGAATGTGAGGAAGGGTATTCAAAAACTGGAGGTCTCGTTAGAGGAAACGAGGGCGGAGAAGAAACGGATTGAAGAGCAGCTACTGAGTGAACGCCAGGCTTTCGTTGCTCTGAAGAACGAGTATGGAGAGGCCAAGGATGCCAAGCGTACAGTCGTGCAGAGACTGGAGGAAGCTAACGAGAATATCGGCAAACTTCGGACTGTAGTAGGAGATCTGCAAGCCAAGTGTCAGTCGCTCGAGGAGCAGTGCAAGTCCACAGTTGTTCAGAAAGAGGAGTGTGAGGCTATAGCTGCTACTGCTCAGAAATCGAACGACCACCTTCGTGAGCAGCTTACGCGTCTTACCGAAGCGGCTGCTCATCTTGAAAACTCTCTGGACACGTCGGTGGAATCAAGTGAACAGTCGAAGAAGGAATTGCTAGACCGGATTGCAGTACTCGAACACCATATTCAAGCTCGAGAAGAACATTTCGAAGCGGAAATGTCAGCTATGGAGGAGGAAAATACGCGCGAGTTGCGGAATGTATCTTCGCAGTATGATACGAATCTCCGTAAACTGCAGGATACAATTGACACTGTGCAACAGGGATATATGGAACAGGAAGCGAAGGCTAAGCAACTGGGATCAACTGTGCGTGAGCTTACTGCTGCCAAGGATTCTCTGTTGACTTTGGTGGAAAATATGAAGACCGAGAGCTCGAAGCAGAGAAAAGATTTCGCTGATCTTTCGCGAATGCACAAGAACCTTTCTGAATCGATGAATGGCCGTGTAAATGCTGTAAACGAAGCTCTAGAAGAAGAGCGAAGTCGACGTGTTAGTGCTGAAATGAGGGCACTAAAGGCAGAGAAACTTGCTGAGCATATCAAGAGCGATCGAGAGAGATGTTTGCGTACTTGTCGTCAGAACCTTCAGCAACTGGCGCGTGAATGGAAGGAAGTTCGCAAAGGTGTTTCGAGTGAAATGAACGTTGGCTGGGTGTATTTGCAGAAGGAGCTTGCTGTGGCAGGTGTAGAGTGGAGAAAGCGCACAGAGGAGCTCTTACAGGAGGCTGATACAGTGTGGACACGTAAAGCCAAGCAGGATAAGCAAGAATGGAAGAAACGTTTAAGTCAAAAAGACAAGGAAATGGATGGACTACTCTCAAGCCAGCGTGTAAACGACCAGACCAAATACGACCAAGTGGTTGCCAGACTAGAGAAAAAGGCACAAGAACTGGAAGAGCTGGAGACGCGACTCACGACACAAATGGATTTAAACTCCGACTTACAACGAAGTGTGCAGAGACTTGAAGAAGACCATAGACTTGGACTAGTGGAGCTGTCGAGCCTACAAGAGCGATTATCTGCTGCACAGATTGCTACCCAACAAGAAACGAAAGAAAAGGATCGAGTGAGTGCTCTTTTGAAGACGCAGAAGGCTATGTGCGATAAATACCGTAGTTTTGCTTCTTCAGTGGCTAAACAAGGTGGAGCAGAACTCACAGACAGCGTATTGAATGACGATAACGCGGACATTGAGAACGAACACTCTGCTTGGAATGTTCGAATGTTTTCTGATGAACTGACGAAGCTAGCAACGCGTCTTCAAGAAACACAAGCACAAGCGATTCACAAGGCCATTGCAGAGGCTACTGTGGACACAAAGGAAGGTGTGAGTGCGCCTTTGTTATCGGAGTTGGAAGCTGCAAAAAGTGCTTTGAAGTTTTTGTGGGGCGAGACAACGCCTGATACCGATAATGGTGAGTATGATGGGCACCTTCCATGGTACGTCCGTGCTGCCCGGACGGTGAGAAAGGAGAGGGATGCGCACGACCAAATGGTGTCAACAATGCAACGAGATCTTGCTGCGAAAGAAGCGGAGAACAAGGAAATATTAGACAGCAAAAAGAAGTGGCAAGAAGCAAACAACTTGCTTCGCTTTGAAAAGGACACGTTGCTACGGGAGATGGAGCTACTTCGACAGACAATGCAGAAGCGAAAAGAACAAGAGTTACAGGAACTCCAGGCGGAGTGTAATGTACGCATCGAGCAATTGAAGCAGCGCCATGATCGAGCAATTATGAAGTCTGACCAGGACTATGAGGTTTGTTTTTCGCATTGTGTTGCTGCACTATCCAGCTAATATTAACAGCATTCGCGTGTAGACTGCGATGAATCAATTGCGAGATATGCTGGAGTCGGAGCGACGAGCCACGAGCCATGCGAAGAACGAGCTTATCGAGTTGGTATGTTGGATGCATGCATGAATATCAAGATACTTGACTAACGATAAAATTCTCGCAGAAAATGACATTAGAACGCACTGAAGACGAATTGAAAGAAGCGCAGCAAAAGCTGAACAAAGAGACTGATGAACTTCGAGAAACTGTAGGTATTTACCGACTATTTTAATAGGCAGATTGTTAATTGTTTGTGTGATACAGGTCAGTAAGTGGAAAAGGAAAGCCAAGTTAGCCATGAAGAACGGTGGCACTGGAGTATCATCAAAGACGAACTTGCACATGTCGTCATCGTCTATGGGAACGGAAGAGGACTCAGACGCATCATACCGCATGATGTATCCACAGTCGCGACGAGCATCCAACGCCATGGCAGATCTATCGAGTCTCATGGAGCAGTCTCTTGTCAGCATCCGAAAGGAATCATTGGTGCCTCCACGTCGCCGATAGACAGTAGTCCACATGCATTTTAGTCGTGTTGAATGACGCACACGCGCAGGTGTACACAAATGTATTGATTTATTGCTGCAACAGCTCCTGCTTCCAAAGAGCAAGCAGCTTGCGCAGCTCGGGCTCCTTGCCAATCACCAACTTCTTGGCTGCTAGTGCGCGCTGTCCACTACCGTTCGTCGTGACGAGCACCTCGTAATCTTCACCGCTCGTGTCGTCGAAGTCGTGCAGCTCGACGTGACCCGATACATCATCGCCACTCTCCCATGCGAACTTAACGGACAGCTCATAGCCGCAGCGCTTCTTGCCGCGACTAAAGACAATCTGCTCCACCATTACAACTCGTCAGCCACACGTGGTATCTCCGTCAAATATCCTGAAATTACATACCTTGGCCTCACCGTCGCAGCGTGCAAAGGACGTGGCCTTGATGGACAGTCCCTGTGCTTCGTCCTCGAAGCTAAATGACTCAAGGATGTGATGTTTGAGCCGCTCGCGAGCCCACTCGGACTTGTCGCGCTCCTCCCTGATCCACAGCAATTAAAAAAAGTCAGAAAAATTGTTATATATGATATCGACTGATAGCTTCGCAGCGTACCAAGTGCCTGCACTGTTCCAGACCGAGCTAGAGTCGCTCCGACTAATAGGAGCCGTCACCGCCGCCGCGTTGTCGATCCGCACGGGAGTGAAGTCCTACAATGCCATTCCACCGTTAATTAACCGGTTTAGACGCAACAACAGCATAAATTAAGGGAGCAATAGCAAGCAAACCTGCGACGTCTTGGGGATCGTCTTCATCCAGCCGTGGTAGCCGCTGTGGAGCTTCTCGTCGTCCGACATGGTGAGCCGATCAATCCTTTGCTGGAATATTCGATTGTGTCACGATGCCAGATGATGCATGTTATATTTTCACCAATCAACAACGATGCCATTCTCTATTGGTCAAAATTTATCACCTCAATATTAACCAATCTGCATCTTCATCCATTCACAATAACAAGGCGTCCTGCTGGCCATGACGAGTGTCTGGAGCGCGCACGTGACCAAGGAGGGGCGGACGTACTACTACAACCGCAGCACCAAGCAGAGCGCATGGGAGAAGCCCGCTGACTTTGACGGTGAAGAGCCCAGCGCCGCTTCAGCGGCCCCATCGTCGTCCAAGAAGGCTGAATGGGAGGAGCTCTGGGACCCCAAGAACGAGCGCGCCTACTACTACAACCGCGCGACGCGTAAGACCCAATGGCAGCGACCCGAGGGTGTTGAAATCAAGCCTCACGCTGGAGCCACAGAGAAGCACAGGCACCACAGCAAGACCAAGAAGAGCGAGGAGGCCACTAATAAGGACGAGACTGCGGAGTCTGAGGAGACTCAGAATCAGAGAGTTGAAGTCAAGAATCAGACTCAAGAAGAAGAAGAACTTGCACAAGAAACAACGACCCACTCAAAGAAGAAGAAAAAGAAAACCAAGAGAGAAAAGGTGGAGCACGTACCGGTCGAGAGCCAGAGGAAGAGACGTCGACAGGACGAGAAGAGACTCATTATCTGGGACGACGAGGAGCAGGACCATGATGCTACTAAAGATATTGAAGAGAAAGACACGGAGGACGGCAAAGAAGCTACCAGATTGTTGCAAGAGCTGTCCAAGACTGACGCTATCATGGAGGCCAATGTATTGGCTGTAATTAACGGTTTCCTGAGAGCTCATACCGAATCCAATGGCCCTGAAATTCTTGTGGAGAAGCTGTCGTCGTCGTACCGCGGCCATGCGCAGATGATTGGACTTGTTGCGTCCTGGTTGGACACTTTACCAGTCTCTACAACGGCGTTGGAGAACAAAATGACATTCGATGTGAACGAAGGAGCGGTGATTGCCAATAAAGGCGCGTCGTGGGACCCAGCGGAGGAAATTCTGTACAATCATCTGAAAGATATGATCAACGAGAACTACGACCCCAAACTCGTGTCGAATGTACTGAGTGGGTCCGCAATGGAGCCGGAGTGGCTGACCCAAATGCTGAACGACCGAAAGTGGCGACTGATGCTGATTGAACTCGCGGAAACGCACAAGGTTTGTGATGTTGGGACTGATTCTGTAGGATTATCAGTGATGATTTTGTGTTGGTTGTTGTAGACGTGTACGTTGCTTCAGTATGCAATTCGGCGCATCTCGGAAGCAGGTCATCACAAGGAAATCGCATCTATCACCAGTGCAAATGCGTTCTTCCCGGTGTTTAGTGGGGTTCTATTGGATGCCTTCAGTCGAGTAAGTGTGCTTCGACATCGTTGTTGACTAATGGTTGGTCATTACTGAGTGTTGTTTCTATGGCTGACAGATTCCATTTGCTAACGAAGAAGAAGTAGTGGAGGACATTGCAGCCTTGAAGAAGGTTTGCTGCCAGTCTTCGCACTCGTACGTCTACGCACAAGAACTGCTCTGCTCGATGGACGACAAGTTGTACTTGATGCAGAAAGATGCGGTTGTTACTAGCGCCGAGTACACGCACATTCGTATGGTACGTTCGAAGTTGAACCGTGTACATGGAGAGCTCCAGGAAACAGCCAGCAGTAGATTTGGAGCGAAGATTGTTCCGTTCCACATTTTGCGTCGCCGATACATTTACGACTCGAACTCGAAGTTCTGTGACGCGATCCTGTCGATCGTGAAGACGAAGAAGTGTTTGGAATTGAGTGCAGAGGTGTTGGCAAAGGAATATCAAACGTCCAAGACGCCACCACCCGTAGCTCACCTTCGAGACCCCATGGTACGATCACGCTTCTTTGGAGGGCGTCAGATGACTGGTGTAGTAACTTTGGTTAACGTTGTGCTAGGTCCTGTCAAGTCTGCTAGATCGACTGTTCAATCCTTCGGACTCGATCTCGCCGGCATTCGTTCAGAACTGCGTGTTTCTGTTGGCTTATGCCGCGTCCACGAAGGACGAACGGAGTTTACTGCAAACAGGAGTCCAGGGATCGTCGAATCAGGTCGAAGTTGACGATGACGGCGTTGAATCTACAAAGAAAGCTCTGGTCGAGGCGTCAGCAATCTGCAAGTCGGACCACACTCTTGGTTACAATGTGAGTCATGTAGTATCATCTTCACAGTTACACGATAAACTGACCATCATGTCTTCTGTTGCTACCAGATGAATCAATCGGGAGTAGTGGATAAGCTGATCTCGGTGATGTCCGTCCCTGTCGTGTCCATGGGTGTGTTGCACTGGCTGGAGGTTCTCCTCACATCTCCAGGGTTCTTCAGCAGTACACCACTGCACATTTGCTTCCCCAGTTTGCTGCGAATACTGAAGGCTTCTATTAAGCTCCACGTTGCTCAGTGGCCGATCTCATTTGGTGTATTGGTGACGTCGTTGCGACTGCATCCTGACGTGAACCCAGTGAAGGCTTTGGAGCTGAAGAGAGAAACACTTCGATGTATGGTGTTCATGATCACGAGTGGCTACGTGTTGCCTGTACTGGAGTTTGTGTTCACGAACACTTTGGAACTTGATCAAGCGCTATTGCGAAACTTTATCACGATGCTGTTTGCACGTATCGCTCCGCCGTTTTCGCCCAAGTTTTCTGTGGCTTTGACTAAAATTCTGACACACCCGAAGGTGCAAACTGCTATCAAGTCGTGTCCACCCGAGAGCAGGATGAAGCTGCGAGGGTTTGTGAGTTTCTGTAAGAAGAACCAAAACGTGTTGTCGTCGGATCAGTTGCATTCACTTACGGTCATCCAGGAAGGAAGAGATTAAATACAGCACAAGTGTGAATACATGTATTGATTCAGGATCAACATGAAAGGAGTTTTGAGAACCAGATGAGCTCAAAGCGGCATGGCCTTGTCCACGATTTCTTTCGGGACGCCTGCGCTCAAGCACTCGTGACGCGAGATGAGCTTCTCGCGCGTGGTTCGAATTTCCTCTCGCTTCTGTTCACCTTCCACTTGGCATTTGGCCAGGTCTTTCTGCCGTTGGATCTCGCAGTCAACAAGCCGCTGCTTCCCTTCTTTACCCATGAACGAAACGTGTTTGGCTTCTTGGGTATCAAACAGTCCAATCGCTCTACGCGAAAACATTTCAAGCACATTACTGGTGTGTCCTTGTGCGGTATGATGGACAAACGCTGTGTCCGAGGGAAGAGGGGACAAGTCAGGTTGTTGGCTTGAACTAAAGTCCACTATTTCTTGCACCCGATAACTTGGTTCGTCCGTGGCTCGCTGTTTCTTGGGCGGCGTTTTTTCTTCACTGTCGGTCGCCGATCGCTTCAGAGTGCCAGGTTGTCCACCGTCCGCTATTCCGAACAGTGGTGCCAAGTTGTCGTAGTGTGGATAGCGCTGGCGGACTCCGTCCTTGACCTTCTGAGTGGCTGCGCCACTGTGATAAGCAGCATATTGTCCAGCCTTCGAGAGCCATTTGTCCACAGCCTTGCATTTGTTCTTCATGCGGGAGATTTTATGGTCGACAGCATCCGCGTTGCGAGTGATCCCATGCGTGCTAAGGTCTCGAACGATTTCCTCGCACAGCTTCTTGTGAGACTCGGATTGCCAGCGTTTCTGATTCTCAGGGGTAAGCAACCAGCGCAAAAGCACATCTTCTGATGTCGGTCCCCCGGGAGTGGCGCTATCGGCGTCCCAGTTCACCATGAAAATTGCAATATCGCTTAGGACAAGTTTCAACGAACTACCCGTTTGAACACTAACGGGCCCAAGAGAAACAAACTTAACGCCTTGTCGCTTTTACTCAAAGAGCGCCAAAGAAAAAGCAGTAAAAGAATCTAACGCTGTGGAAATGGACAGCTTTGAAGGAGACTAAGAGCTACTTGACGTACAAGAAATCTTTGCTTGTGCCTCTGCTAGCGGCAAGGCAAAGTCGATGTCCTCACTTAGGACGCCTTCTTTCTGCAGCTCGTATCTCGCTTTAGTCACCTCCACCCGGTATCTCATAATATTAATGCTTTGCCTCAGTTGCTCGTCGGACTTGGCCATCGCTTTCTGCTTCTTGGCGTTCGTTGCTCGCATCGCCAATCCACCTCGCGAAGCTTCTTGCCAGTCTCAAGCACTCTCTCGCTGCTCTTTTGCGTGTGGTTTAGCATCACCTCCCCAAATTTCTGCTGCAACGCCGGTGGAAACTCGGCCACACGAAAACTCTGCTCAAAGCAATTGGATCCCATGGCACCGTAAGGCACGACCTTGCGCACGGAGTCGATGGCACTTGGCTCCGACTTGTTCTTCATGTCGCCGACATCCACTTCAGCCGCATCATGACACGGATCTTAGTTGTCTGCCTTGCGATTGTTGCTCGTAGAATGTTTCGTGGTCGACATCTTTTTGCTCGTGGTTCTTGTTTTCGTTCTTGCCATTTGCGGCCCAAGCACAGGAAGGAACTCGCAGAATAGAGGACATTTGGCTAGCATTTTTGCCAACGTGTAAGGATTTCGTTCGCACTGAGGCGGTTCGCTTCAAGCCATTTCAGAACCGAGTTAAACTCGCGTTCAAAACGACGAACTTTGGATTCGATAGCTTTTTCAGTGCGGTGACTAATTCCATTGAGCTTTAGCTCATGGAGAATCTCCAGTACAGCCTCATCACGCCTCCCCTTAGTGTACACAAGTGGATGTTGCATGGCGTCCGCCGTCAAGTCTGCCATCACCTGTAAGCAGATTACTTAACTACAAACTTGTTGCAAAATAAACGAAAGGATGGCTTTGTAGTGGCTACTCTTGAATAGCACGGTGCACGTCGTCTTTTGGAGCACCAGCACTCAACAACTTGTGCTTTGACAGCAACTTGTCACGCGTCGTACGCATCACCTCACGCTTTTGCGCAGCCTCGACATGGCTTTTGGCAATAGCCTCATCGCAAACAATTCCGCGTCGTGGGGCCAATCCATTTTTCACTTTAGACGATGTTTTGTATTTGGTGATGTGAACAGCTTCATAACGAAGCTCGTGATGTCCGTTTAAACCCTCAACAACCACTAGTCTTTCTGTCAGCACACTAGAGTGTACTGTTTGCTTGATCGTCGGGGCTTCCTGCTCTTTGAGGTCGTCATCTGAGTGGTATTCAGCAGCGTCGGTGGGTCTTTTGCACTTAACCAGTACGCTTAGACGTCGGTCCAGCTTAGTAGGACTCCGTTTTTCAGCACTCTTAGAGGCTGCATTAGGACGTTTAATTTGCTCCTCTTTGTTGCTGCCTCCGGGGGTCTTCCGGAAAACTGTTGTGAGTCGCGGATACATCGGACATCACTTCAGCTCGCCACCCTTCACGTCTTCGGTTGCTGTGCCGCTTTGATATCGCACTAGCTGCCCCTGTGTCACCAGTCAATCTGTCGCTGTTTCCAACTGGGCTTGGAGTCTTGCAACCTTCTGCACGATCGTTGGAAGTGATCGATCCATGATTCCATGAACGTGGAGCTTCCTTGCTATCTCCATAGCTAGAACCTCCTTTCTTTGAAACAACCAGCGCGAGTAGTTTCCTGATGTCAAAAGCCACTCCATTAACACATCCATTGAAGCCACCCTACCGCGCGTCTTCGCATCGCTATTCCACGATGTCATCGCGTTTCGCTCGAACCAAGCGTTTGCTGTTTTGAGACTAGGCACTGAAGAAAATGATACCAAACCGTGTGCAGGTGGAGTTTTGAATTTTACTTTTTTTTTCTTGACACACTTTGAGAATACGAGCCAATTTGGCTGCCAAACGAATTGATTCAACAAAGTTGCTACTTTACTGAATGAAAAATGAGCAATTCAGAGACTAGAACAATTTGCATTCAAAGGTATTGCATAGATATCCATGCTAATCGGGAAAAAGTAACCTTTGCACTCAGCACCTTTCCATGTTAGAACGCACTACACAGATATCCGTGCTAACGGAAAAAAAAAGTGAACTCGACACCCGGAACTTTCACTTCAGTATTCCACCGGAAAGATGTGATCCACAATTTCTTCAGCAACCCCTGCGTTCAGTAGCTTATGCCGCGATAACATCACCTCACACATCGTGCGTACTTCCTCTCGCTTTTGCTCTCCCTCGAGGTGGCACTTGAACAACGTCCGCTTGTGCTCAATCTCGCACTCTAGCAACCGCTGGTCCAATACTTCATCGGACTTGACAATATCCTTCACGTCCTTCACATCACTGTAGGCCTCACAACATTTATCCGACTTGGGGGCTGGATCAAGTTGGCCCTTCTCGCTTGTCTGACGTCCAGAACTGCTCGGCCACGGATGAACAACCGAACTCTTTCCCTCTGAACCGTTTGAGTCCTTGCTGCTTCTCCTCAAGTCCAGAGCTCGTCGTTTCTTCTGCGTATCGCGCCCAGCGTTGAGCTCTTTGCCAGGGCCCAGAACTCGCGGCTTCTTCTGCGTACCAGGTCTAGCGTTAAACTCATCACCAGAGCCCTGAACGCGCGGCTTCTTTTGAGTACTTCGACCGGCGTTGAGCTCACGTCTACGTGGAGCTGTATCGCTCTCAGCTTTGCTGCCAGCAGAGCGGTCAAACACATGCACCAGCTTCCGATATCGCGGACACAGCTGCCGTACTGTGTCGTTCGCACCCTTGCTTGTCTCTCCGCGAAGATATTGGTGCTCGAGATCATTTTCCGTCAGCCACTCTTTTGCCGATTTAAATTCTTGTTCCAGCGTGCGGATTTTCTTGAGAACGCCTTTTGCAGTACGATTATTGATCCCATGAGCTACAAGCTCTACGACAACTTCCTTGGCGACGCTTATCTTGCTGTTGAGTGTCCACCGTTCGTAGTTGCCTGTAGTAAGTAGCCATCGCAGCAGCACGTCCAGGGAAGACGGTCCTCCTCTTTGCTTGTTATCTTTCTCCCACAGCGCCATCTTGCAGTATGAGAAATTCGATTTGGGACTTGGCGCTGGAGAAAAAGCGAAAAGGAGCTTACAGTTAGTTGGAAAATTATCCACTTTTCTTTGCCAAGAAAACTCGCCAAATGATCATCAGCGGCTTCACACTCACGTGAAAGTCCGTTCGCAACTCTTGACTATGACTAGCAATTAATGAACATATCTCCGCATTGGGCTTCAATGAATTTCAATTGTCGCTTCTGGGTTACTTGACCACTGAAAAAGTAAAATCGGGAAATTATTCTTGAAAATGGGGGGGGGGGGGGGGGGGGGGGGGGGTCCTTTTCCTCTGCGATCACAGCGTGAACGAGCTTTCACGTACACCGCAATGCCGATTACACCTAGCAGGTCTAATTGGTAAATGAAGGATTAACTTCTTCACTTGTGTCGACTTTCTAGGTTGCTTTGAACCTCTCAATGTTTGTTAGAGGAAAAAACTAGCAAGCAACTGCTTTTTTTTGTCTTCACGATTAGAATATACTGCTCGAAATACTACAAAAACTAAAAAAAAAAAAACTTGGAAGCAACGGAACCGTGTTTCGTCACTTGGGAATCATGCTGTCCACGTCCTCTTCCGACACACCCGCGATTCGTAATTTGTGTCGCGATAGTACTATCGCACATGTTGTTTGCAGCTCCTGTCGTTTCTGCTCCGCTTCGAACTGCAGCTTGGCCATGGCATCAACGTGCTCGATCTCGCGTTGGAGGATCTGCTGAGCCAGCTTTCCCCGGTTTCCCTCAAGCAAGGGCTCCTACTAACCCCGCAATACTCGTTCCAGCGAGATTCACTCTCTCTTTTGAACTCCGCGAGTGCCAGTGATCTCTCGCCACCAATCGATCTCACTTCTCCGGCAGATCTCTCCACCCTTGGCAAATTATCCTGCACCAATGCTGGCTGAGGCTCCGGAGCTTTATGCTTCCGCTGTTTCTTCGAAATCTGGTTATCGTCGACAGCATCCTGACTCCGCTTCTGATCGCCTTGGGTAACGGATAGCTTGGCACATTTCTGCTCTTCCTCCGTAGTTCCATTGTCCATCACACTCTTCGTTTCGTCACCATGTTTGGTCTCAGCTTCGGTATCTGCGTTCATCGACTGGAATACAGTGGAAAGCTCACTATAGAGCGGGCATCGCTGTAGCACACCTTGCACTACATCTTCACTCGCTTTTCCATCCGTGTACGCTACAAGCTGCCCCTTTCCGCTCAACCAAGTAGTGGCATCCTTGAATTGCTTCTCCAGTTTCAAGATCTTGCATCTGACAGCTTTATCCGAACGCTTTGTGGCTACGTGCTTCTTAATATCACTGCAAATTTCTTCGAGCAGTGGCTGCCTCTCTTTAGACTTCCATTTCTTGTAATTGTCTGGCGTCCCCAGCCACCGGACTAGTATATCCATCGACGTTGGAGATCCAGGCTTCTCGCCGTCGGCATCCCAAGGCTTTGTCATGTTTGTTCTGCAAAATGAACTTTGCATAGATTGCAACGGGGTTGTCTTTATGGGACCCGACGCCAAAGAGTAAATGTTGGTCTCCAACGGTGGGATCGGCATTCGAGGACTTCACTTTGGACCAAAGACACGATGAGACTGACAACCACGACGCAGAAGCAAGGTGATGCCAATGAATCCACGACGCTTGCGCGGATTCCGTGGGATGCAGACAGCCCCACACCCGATGGACTCACTTCGCTGGATGTCTTGTTAAAGTGGATGGTGACTCCTGGGAAGTACGAGCGTTTGCATGGTGACCAACGGAGCAGAGCCATCCAGAGCGTTTTGGGTGCGTTGAAGAGGAACGGCATTGAGCACCGCACAGAGTCGAGTGTGCGCGGTAAGGTCCGCTCTATCGAAAACCAGTACCTCTCTGCGAAGCAGTGGCTGAAGGAGAGAGACATCAACGGCAACGACGTTACCACTGGCAACGTGGATAGCGACACGGAGACTGCAGTTTTGTCGCTATGTCCTCACTTCAGCGAGTTGGTGCCGATATTCCGTGACTCTAGCTACCTGAACACTATGGCATCGGCGCGATACCAAATTGAAGTCACGGAAGATAACCGGGAGAAGCCGGCACGCTTAAAGGCTAAACGCAAGACGAGAAAGGAAGTACACCGTCCAGGCAAACGCCGCCTGGTGCAGACAACTGAAGTCAAATCATATGCAGGTGTTCATGAAGACGAAGAAGAAGATCGAGATGAAGTAGCTCGGGTGTTAAACTGCGTGCGTCGCACGACCTACGGCAACATCCCTGGGAACGAGCTGGACCTAAGTGGTGGTGACAACGGGTTCCAACGCACTGATCACTGTCAACTCGTTATCCGTGATTCAGACTCCCAACTACCATCCGAGGACCAGCAGCAAATAGCAGAGATCAAGGTGAATCATGTGAAGAAGCAGAGCCAAGCTGTCCTTGAACACGAAGACAAGATGCGAGCAGAGATGTTGGAGTGCGACGTTGAAGTCAAGCGAGGTCGAGGTGAAGTGCAGTTGCTGCTGGAGAGGATGCTGGCGCGCCAGACCATGAGGAAGGATGGCATTCCCAACGATGAAATTGACGTCGTCTTGCCGCTTAAGGAACTATGAAGTCGCAACAAAGATGCTTGTGTCGGAGACATTTATTTAATAGTGCTTGTTGAGTTTTACCGAGCTACGAGGTAGCTTAGGAATCAAAATGGTTATGGCAAAATACAACGGATGTCTGAGTCCTGAATTCCTTTTTACACTTGTGATGTACGCTTCTGATTACTATTTAACCAGTTTACTGCAGTTTTTGCAGTGCGATTCGTACATGTAGCTCCTAAATAAGCCACGTTGCTCTTATGCTTGTACATCCTGCCGCTGCCGCAATGCGAGACAGAAACAGCAAGAATGCAAACTTGTGCCAGATGCTTACTGAACCCAGCAGTATCTTTAAAGCAGCTTTAACGACCACATCATCGCTGATCCTAAAAAGAATGCGGAATAATTTCAGGGTATCCAAAAAAACTCATGATCGTTGAATGGTTATTTTTTGGCTTCCAAATGCCAATACGTTCTGCATGTACTGCTCATCAAAGCTAAGATGCGTAAATGCGGATACCTCCGTCACTTATCCAGCGCACTGCCCACTAAAGCGGAAGGATCTCGTTCACTTCGTCGTCCGAGTACCCTGTCTTCTTTACCTTTTGCCGCGACAGCATCGTCTCGCGTTTCATTCGCATTTCTGCAATCTTTTTCTCTGCGTCAAGACGTACTTTGGCCAAGTTCTTAAGCTTGCTCTCGATCAGTCGTTGGACCATCTTTTCTCCTGCTTTTCCGGCGACGGCGACATCAGAAGGCGATACGCACTGAAGAAAGATGGCGTTCCACATGAGGTAAATGCATTGTCGCGTTTTGATTGGCCAGTAACTTCAATTTGAAAGCATAATTATTTTTCCACAAATCTATTCGTGGTTATTACACCAGCTACTCCATTGGATTACTTCACATTGCCACTTGCGCTACTTCACCCTAAAAACGCCTCACACAATCACAACTCAATTCCCGATATTCCCATTCTAGCCGCGAAAATTACTGGCATGCCAACGTCCGATCCTGCGCCATCCGAAGCAGCTCCTGCTGCCGTTATCGCGGCCTCCAGCGCGCTACCGACGTCTCCATCCTCTGCTCCAGACGCTGAATCATCTCCACCCGCTTCTGCCGCTTCAAACGATGCGTTAGAAGTCACAAACGTGCCCGAGTCACTCTACGTCGCGTCCTCCCCCAAGTCCGAAGCCCCTGCGGCTGTGTCGAGGTTCACACCTTTCGAGGAGAGCTACGACGACATGAACGAGCTTCGCCGCGCTCTAAAGGTGCTCTCAGTGCAGAAAAATGCTCCGTATTACATGCAACACAGCAGTCCGCAGCGAGTCGAAGCCCGTTGTCCGTCCTGGAGACAGCGCAAACGCCGATCTGGGTCCAATAATGACTCCGAAGTAGCAGCAATTGCAGTTCCAGTATGCGATTTCGTAGTCTCGGCCAACCGCCACGCCAACGGGAGAGTGTATGTCACCAGAGCCATCTTCAATCACTCTCCAACATGTTCAATCCTCCACGCTCGTCTAGCTGCTAACGCCGAGGCTGTTACAGTCGACGCAAATGTAGGAGACAACGGCCGTGCGTCCACAGTCACAGCCTCAGCGCTACTGGAGACAGCACTGCCATATATGGGCCAATTAGCCAGCTCCAGAGGAGGACGCGACGCCGTCAAACCTAAGGACGTTAGTGACATTATGAAGGAGAAATTTGGCGTTAAGCCGTCCTACATGACGGCGTGGAGAGCTCTGAGTGCATTCAGAAAGCAAAGAAAGGAAGAAGACTCGTCCTCATACATGAAATTGGACGGATATCTGAAAGCTTTTGTCGAGACAAATGCCGGGAGCTTAGTGGCTTTTGAGCATCAAGACATCCCACCGCCTTCTAATAAGCCAAATGCCAAGGTGTTTGGAAGGGCGTTCCTGTGTCCCAAGCCACTACATGACGCACTGAGATACTGTAGAGGATCAATGCTGTTGAGTGTGTTCTTAGTGACGTCGGCCTTTGGAGGAGTCGTGTTTACGGCCACTGCTCAAGATGCTATGGGAGACAATGTTCCTATGGCAATTGGACTGGCACCAGCAGAGACTGAGAACGACTGGAGGTTCTTCTTACAGCAATTACGTCGTGCTTTCCCCGACCTGGAGCGCTCAGTGACGTCGCTGGTGCACAACCGCGGCGAGGAACTTACACGAGCTGTTCATTCGGTTTTTCCGAACTGTCCGCAGTCCAATGAAGTTGAAATCTTCATACGTAGCCCCACAACTGCCTCTGACGCTGGGACTTCTGCTACTGGAACGAGTGGCCCTAAATTGCCGTTGGATGCGTCTATGCAGTGGATGGAAGCACTGTGTGCGAAGGCTCCGCTAATGATCCTCGTGGGATGGGTATCACAAGTGGCTCGAACGCTGTTCCAACGCTACGAACGCTACGGACACCTCAGCGCTGAATATCCGGCTGAGTTCCATTCTCTTGCAGCGGAATATGAAGGAGAAGCGTCACGTTACGATGTCGTGCGCACCTCTGAGAGTGAATTTGAGGTTATCGACCAGCAAACCAGTGCCGGACGAGTAGTTAACTTTGCCAAGCAGACGTGTACCTGTGGTGAGTATGACGTCTCTCGCTTCCCGTGTCTCCATGTGTTCCTTGCAGTGACACACGCTGGAATGCTGCGAACGGATGTGATCCCGCGTATTTTCCTCATGACGTCGTTGAAGACGCTCTACGCTGGACGGATCACACCGATTGATATTGCTACTGTGCCTTCCGACGAGGTAACCATCCCACATACCCTCCCAAAGTCTCGTGGTCGGCCACGCAAGGTACAGCAGATTCAGCAGTTTGGTGACCCGAAACAAGAGAAGCTCCGGTGCAGTGTGTGCGGTGTTAAAGGTCACAACAAGCGGACGTGCAAGCGTCTCGCTGGTGGAGCTGCACCAGACCACACAGACGACATGGCCAGCGGTCAGGACGACACCACATTTCTAGTCTCGACATGTAAGGAGTTATTATACTGTGGTATGAGGTGTTTGCCTGTGATATTGAGCTAACTGGCTTGGTTGATGTTTTGTAGATGGCGATGCCCTTGCATTCGACAACTCGGCGTTAGGGACTGATTCGGAAAGCCATGTGAGTGACGGACAATCGCTTCATTTGAGCTCGGGCAAACGTCGACGACTGGAGGAGAACGATAATGCTGAGGAAAAGAAGTCTGACGAAGAAGAAGAGACCACCGGCGTCGCCTTGGTGTAGTTTGCTGTGGTTTATAGCTGTATGTGTCAGATTAATTGTTCACTTGGTCGCCATTGTAGGAGCTGGAATATAATGAACAAGCGCAAATGAATGACACAACCTCGTTACCTGCTCCAGGCAAAACAAGCAGTAATTATATTATCCTTCTGCATTACTGGGTCATCGTAGCTGTTCGAAGACGGTTGATAGCGGCAGCCAGCTACACAATAATTGTCACAATTAGTCAAAGGCTGGCAATACAACAAGTAAAAAATACCGTGGCGCACCTCGAGCTTGCGAGGTCGAGTGTAAAACCCTGACTTCTTATGGAAACCAACGACGTCGAGCGAGCCTGTGCGGTCCATTTCACCCTCAAGCTTGATCAACACCTCCTACAATTATGAGTAAGATGACATGAGCTCCACTAATTCCCACGACCCAAAAAAAAAGTAGCTGTACCTCCAGAGTGCATTTGCCGTCCATGAAGGAACGAGTCTTCTGAATAGCATCAGCAATTGTGCGCACTTGGCTGGGCTCCACGATCTGCTCCACGGCGCTTAAGTCAAGATCAACCTGATATCACAAAATTCAAGTGAGTCATGTGTACCATCGTCAAATCTTCGTCTTAATACCATACCTCGCCGTACTGAATTTTGCCAAGGCCACGCGAGACAACCTTGCCGTTGACCTCAAACCCGCGACCCAGAGGAATGCGTGACTTAAACTCGCCAAACTCCGCGTCCTGACGGATCTCTCCATGTTCACTAGCGATCTTCTTGGCTTCGGTCGTCACATCTCGCGGCTCGTACGAGTCCATCATGATAACATGATCAGCTACAGAAAAATAGTCACCTGCGCCACCAATGACCAGCACTGACGAGACGCCACGCTGTTTGTAAAGCGCCTGCACCTTGGAGATGAATGGCGTAATGGGTTCCTTGTCCTTGGCCACCAACTGCTGCATCTTCCAGTCGCGGATCATAAAGTTGGTAGCACATGTGTCCTCATCAATCAAAAGCGTCGTCGCACCAACTTCCAAAGCTTCAATAATGTTGGCCGCCTGTGAAGTACTACCGGACGCGTCAGCAGTGGAGAAGCGGGTTGTATCCTGCTTGAACGGCAAGTTGTCGATAAACGCGCTGATATCGGTGCACACCACGCTACGTGAGTCCTCTGAGCGGATCTTGGCAGCGTTGGGATCCATAACCACGAACTCCCGCCCGTCCGACGGCACGTGGTTGTACACACCAACTTCTAGTGCCTTCAGCACTGTACTCTTACCATGGAAACCTCCACCGACGAACAAAGTCACACCCTGAGGAATCCCCATACCGGTGATAACTCCATAGTTAGGAAGTGTGAACGTTCTACTCAACGATTTCGGCGACTTGAACGGGATAGCTTTGTCACTACTCAACGGGAGATCCGAAGCTCCTGACTGGCGAGGCAGAACAGCTCCATCACGCACAAAACCTACTAAGCCGGCATCTTTCAGCATCCCTCTCAGTGCCTCCTGGTCCTCTACTGAGTGAAGATGCTGCCATATGTGGTTTTTATCCAAACTCTTGAGTACCAACGACTGCTCCACTAGCTTCGGCAAGGTTTCAACTAAAATCGTGTATGCCCAATCACCACAAATACTGCGGCCACGGGCCGGCAAGTTGATGTTGAATCTGGTCTCCACGTCTCCATTGGCCAGCACATTGACACTCGAGCGTTCGATTACATGTTGGCCTGGAGTATCAATGGAGATATCCCCGCCTTTAACCCCTTGCCAGGAATTACTGATGGTTTTGACATCGGCCCCACAGCTACGAGCACTGGCCGCGAATACTCTGGTTAAATAGTCACACAGGGCCACGTTACGGATCTTGTCCTGGTACATCTCGGCCGGGAATGCAGCCGACGTAGCGGAGACTGTCACGTGGGACCGCGACGGACTGGCGTACGGGTCACCCTGGATGTGGTCGAACTCGAGGGCGAAGTGAAGATCATTGCTCTGAAATTCGAAGACACGCTCTAGTTCATGGTACGCGCCGTAGTTCCGGTTGTGAATCTCTTGCAGCACGTAGCCCAATCGTTCCCACGAAGCAGTGGTTAGTGGCGTCCGCGGACGATCATTGTAATGACCACTATGGCCACGGTCAAAGCCTTCGCTGTCTCCCCGGCCACGGCCGCGGCCACCTCGGCCACCTCGTCCTCCTCCACGGCCACCACCGTACTTGTTGCGGTAGTACTCTCCACGACCCATTTTGTGTCGTATCCAATGAAAATGTGATGATTAGAATTTCTAACGTTAATTTAGAAATTAGTGTGGCCAGTCTTTGACGATGTGCAAGTTCACAGTTCTCCGTGTATCTGCTTTTCAAATACAACCATCTTCTTCTTCATTGGTGCTACCAGCTTTATTCAAGAGCTCTACAGTACATAGCGCGCGGGCTTCAGCCGCCTCAGTCCTGCGAAACAGATTTTGTCACGACCGCGAGGTTTAGCTCGGGTCCCGTAATCTGCGAGGGCCAAACTTCAACCGCACCAGCATAAACTTTGCTTTTGTGTGAGCAGTTCGCTTGTCAGTGATAAGTTGTCACTGCTGAGCAGTGCTAGCTAGCAGTGTTAGCATGCTCGAGCTGTACGAAAAAATAATATGAGCTTCAACCATATGCCGTACAGTATCAGCATCAACAGTGGCACTTGACCTACAGCAATGCACGTACATGCACAACTATTTCACTGGCATGGGCGAATTCTGAAGTATGAAGGCATGCAATCCGAACGCATTGCGGAGAGGCCTCACGTAATTTTCATCAGTCTGGAGCAGCCACAGTTTCGAATTTGTCGACTAACGAGCAAGACCCAAAGTATCTCGACGCAATGCGTAGTATTGGTCTCGCACTGCTGCTGGCGCCGGCATTGGCCGAGCTCTGCTTCGCCGACAACCTCGACAAATATGGCATATTCACCCCCAAGAAGATCGCGCTGAGCTCCGTGCCGTCTATGGATGGCCAGTCCTACTCGGGTGGATTCACTCTTTCAACGGACGAACCGCTGGCCACACTCGACTACAACTACGAAGTGGCAGGACTGCCGTACTTTGTGGTGTCCTCCGTCTCCAATGGACCAGTGGAGGTCGAAGTCAAGTACGCAGAGCAGTTCCCAGCGCTCTCGCTCAACTACTCGGATGGGCCATCGCAGTTCACGACATCCATCGCCAACTCACGTCGCGTGGAGACTCACCGCTTCACTGAAGACGAAATTGGAACCACGATCACCTCCATACTCAGTCAACCTGGTCAACGATGGCAGTCACTTCGCCTGCTTACTGGTGACTCCATCACGTTCGAGACTGTCGGTTTGCAGGCGTCCGTCGAGGTGATCGACGACCTTACCACTCTACCCGGTAAATTTTCAAGCTCCAACGCCAAGTACGACGAGATCTGGAAATTGGGAGCACGTGCTGTGACTGCCGCTTGCTTGGATGCTGGCAGTCAAGTGCCTTCGTGGAGCTCGTCCGAAGAGAACGGCACCTTTGTGCCTGGCACGCGTCCGGGTATCTCGTACCGGACGTGGAACCTGACGGACTACGTGCTCACCTTCGACTCGCAGATCATCCGCGGTGGCGCAGGCTACACCATTGCGTACGACCTGACGGGCAACCGTGACGGCGTGCAGATCCATTTGGCGTCCGAGTACCCGAACGACACGACCTTCTCCAACATCAACACGACATTGTTCCCTGCCAACACGGTGACTCTTGCATACGGCTACGACTTTGCTAACGCCACGAGCATGACGAGCTACATACTGGGTCAGTACGATGTGCCGTTCAACGTCAAGGAGAACGTCTGGTACCCCGTGGAGATTCGTGTCAACGCCACGGCTGGTAACATTGTGTTCTCCATCGACGGACAGCAAGTGTTCGATATCATACTGACCGAAATGGGGTTCACGGACAGCCAGCTCTCCTTCTACGGTTATGCGTCACGCGGTGAAGGTGCGATCGGCTTCGGTGGCTGGCAGGATCAAGCATCCTATGTGCGCAATGTGACGGCTACTAGTTTGTCCGACTCGTCCAAGGTGCTGTACTCGAACCCAATGACAGACGAAAGCGTGGTCGTTCCAGAGTTCGGCGGACAGAGCAACGCGTACGGCGTGTGCATGGATGGCGCCAAACGTGACCGGTACGTTTGGCTGGGAGATTTTTACCACACGACGCGAATCATGGGCGTGGCGAACTCGAAACCCGAGCAGATCGCCGGTACGTGGGAGTTTTTGTTCGAGTACCAAGCGGCAACAGGTCAAATGGCTGGTTTCGTTCCCATTTCGTACCAATCGCCGATGCCTACGCCCGAAGTATTCCTCAACGATGCCGGCACTGTGGATGCCTACTACAATTTCCCGGACTACGTGATCCTCGGAATGATCGGTTTGGTATCTTACATGGACTATTACGACGACGATGCTTTCGTCAAAGCCCATTGGGAGGAATTCACCCGTGCGATGACTTGGCTTATTGGCAACCAAGGCAGCAATGGACTCATTGACTTGACGAAATACGTGGTGGTATTCCTTGGACCCGGTGCAGGCATGGCTGTGAATGCTGCTGCTGTCCAGTGTCTCGACGGTATGGCTGGAGTGGCTCGTGCTGTGGGTGACTTAGAATCTGCAAATTCTTGGCTTCAGGTTGCTGCTAGTGTGAAAGCTGCTATCAACGAGCTGCTCTGGAACGATGCGCTGGGTAACTATGCTGTGGACGTATCGACACCTGAAGTGTATGGCGTCTCGGCTACTGCGTTTGCACTCACTTCGGGTGTGGCCAACGAGACCCAGACCAAGCTGATAGTGGACGGTTTGGAAGGTCTGCGTCAAGGTCCTGGGTATCTTGATTCGAGTAA